GAGACTGGGTTTCACCATGTTGGCCAGACCGGTTTTGAACTCCTGACCTCAGGTGATCCGCCTCCCTCAGCCTTCTAAAGTGCTGCGGCCAAAATGATTTTTTTAAAACATGAAATTTTAAAACACCCTTGAAAAATGAAGAGCAGATAGGGAAAAATTGCTTTTACTAAATATGACTTATAAAAGGTTAATATTCTTAGTGTATGTATAATTCATATAAACCTATAAGAGAAAGATAAATATGCATATAGAAATATGGACTAATATCAAGAATAATTTGTAAGAGAAGATATGAAAAGAGCAGATTTAAAAGATGTTTAATTTCAGAAGTCATTAAATAAATACAAATTAAAATGATAGTGACATGCAAATTTTTAACTGTCAAGTTGGCAGCAAACAAACAAAAACCCCATAAACCTAAGAGATTATGTTTAGGGTTATGGAGGATGATGGAGAACATGATTTTTATAGTATACTGATATATATATATGTGTGTGTGTGTGTGTGTGTGTGTGTATACACACACATATATGTAATATTATATATACCCTTTTTGGTAGACAATTTAATAATGTATTAAGAGTTTTAAGGAATTCGTAATGTGAACATGGCTAGGCCACTTTACAGCTTGCCTCTGTCATTGGAAGCAAGTTCTTTGCTTCCCCTTGTCCATCTCCAAAAACTCTGAAAGCATTAAAGACTAGTTTTTACCTTTACTACTTGAAGAGAAGTCTCTGGGAAGATTCCATAGTCCAGGCCACAGAAACTTCAAAACTTCTCTCCAGACATTTCTTTTGCTTTTCAGAGTTGCTTACTGGAAACTGTTAAAAACAAAATCAAATCATAAAACAAGTTATCTCTCACATACATATCTGCCCCCACATTTCTTCCAAGCTGCCTCTTCCTTTCCCTTCTATTCTTCCTAGTTAAATATCTAAAATATTCTGTGGAATAAGGCTTAATATATTTTTGTGTCAAGAGGCTCTTGGCATTCACAGTCTAACACTGCAACACCCCACTGTCTTCACCCACCCCCTGCATATTTTCTTTGCTGTGACAATTATAATTCTCCTCAAGTACCTATGAAGGTGTTTGATCAACCAACCTAGATGGGCACTACTTTGCCAGTTTTCCCCAGGAAGAGATGCATTTTTTAAAATTTATTATTTAAAAAATTTTTAAATTTATTTTTAAAAATTTTGTTTATTATACTTTAAGTTCTGGGGTACTTTTGCAGAACATGCAGGTTTGTTACATAAGTACACATAGGCCATGGTGGTTTGCTGCATCTATTAACCCATCATCTACATTAGGTATTTATCTTAATGATAAGGGATACGTTTTTCTTATTTGCACTACTTCTCTCTAGGAGAATCACATCACCAACACTGAGAAATTCCAGGAATCTTTTGGGCTTGTGAGCATTCTTATATTGAATAGTAATTTGCAGTGGTCATTTTCCCTCAAGTTTCTGGTTCAGTCCCTTCTATCCTCTGGATGGTTAACTTCAGGATGGCCAGTTGAAGAAGGCTGAACGTCTAAGAAATTTTTTCCTTTGGCCTGTTTACTTTGGTTGTGGATTCTACAACTGGAGATTGATTTATAAAATCTATAAATTGGTACCGTTTTGCACCCTTCCACATACCAATTCCTAGTGATTTTCAAATCTTAAAATTGGAAAAGCAATTCTTTGCATATTTGAAGTTGATATTTTAAAGTTATCATCACTTATGTAAATTTTATACTGTAAACTAAGGTGAGAGTAAGAGCTGGGATATGTTAGGAATCTGCTTTCCTTTGCGTAGTAGAAGGCTTATCATGAAGAAAGGCTTATTTATAGGTTGATCAATTGTAGGAAAGAATACCTATGGAAGTTGAAAATCTGGAAATTGATTTATTGAAACAATTCATGTATCCCTTAGGCAAGTATTTTTTCCCTTTTTATTAGACAAGGTCTTACTCTGTTGCCCAGGTTGGAGTCCAGGGGTGCAATCATAGCTCATTGCAGCCTTGACTTGCTGGGCTCAAGTGATCCTCCTGCCTCAGCCTCCTGAGTAGCTGGGACCACAGGTATGCATCATTGTTCCCAGATAACATTTTTATATTTTGTTTTTATTTTGGTAGAGGTGGCATCTTGCCATGTTGCCCAGATTGGTCTCAAACTCCAGGGCCCAAGCGATACACCCACCTTGGCCTTCCAAAGTGTTGGGATTACAGGCGTGAGTCACCTCACCCAGCCTTAGGGAAGTCTGTCCATATTCCAATTTTGAAGATTGCCACTAAAAGGACAGTGAAAACAGTCTACCCTGAAATAGACTTCCTAGTTGTTGATAGTGTGAACTCATTCAAAACTCATGCTGCCTCTGATGCCTGGCATCTTTATTGGGCAGGAGTGGTTGGGTTGTGCTGCAGTACAAATTAGCCCAACCTCAGCAGCTCATTACAATAAAAACATCTTTCTTATCTATGTAGCTATACTATTTAAAATTTGTGGGCTCTAAGGGGAGTAGAGGCCTGGAGGATTCCATGGGGTGTTTTTAAAGGTCAGAGTTGGAACTAGCTTTTATTATTTTTGCCTGTGTTTCATTGGCAATATCCCAGTCATTTGACTCCAACATAATTGCAAGAGAAGCTGGAAAACATAGAAAGAACAGTGAGATTTGGGATTGGCACTGACTTGTACTTTGGTTGTGACATGCTTTACTCATGATTCCAAATCTTTTCTTCTGGCTTTTTTGTACCATACTTTCTGTAAATTTCTCAAGTTTTAATTAAAATAGTAGTGTTAGTTGTGGGTAGTTGCTCACACCTGTAATGCCAGCACTTTGAGAGGCTAAGGTAGGCAGATCATGTGGTCAGGAGATAGAGACCATCCTGTCTAACACGGTGAAACCCCGTCTCTCCTAAAAATACAAAAAATTAACCAGGTATGGTGGCACTTGTCTGTAGCGCCAGCTACTCAGGAGGCTGAGGCGGAGGCGGGAGAATCGCTCCAACCTGGGAGGCGGAGGTTGCAGTGAGCTGAGATTGTGCCACTGCACTCCAGCCTGGGCGACAGAGCAAGATGCCATCTCAAAAAAAAAAAAAACAAAAACAACAGGTTATTATATAATATCTAGCACATTAGAGTTTTTTGAACAAAATAGTGCATCTATCTACCTACCTATGTATGTATGCACCTACCCACTTGTCTATCTCTGAGAGGATTTATATCCAAAACACTACCAATTATTACCTTTAAATGATTACAGAATAAATGATTTCAATTTTGTCAATTTTCTTTAGCTCTATTTTCTTAATTTTTTGTATTGAATTTTTTTTTTTTTTTTTGAGACAGAATCTAGCTCTGTCACCCAGGCTGGAGGGCAGTGGCACGATCTCGTCTCACTGCAACCTCCGCCTCCTGGGTTTGAGCAATTCTTCTGCTTCAGCCTCCCAATAGCTGGGACTACAGGCATGTGCCATCACACCTGGCTAATTTTTGTGTTTTCAGTAGAGGCTGGGTTTCACCATGTTGGCCAGGATGGTCTTGAACTCCTGGCCTCAGGTGATTCTCCCACCTCGGCGCCCTAAAGTGCTGGGATTATGGGCATGAGCCACCACGCCCGGCCCTTGAATTGTTTATGCAAAGAGAAAACATGGAAATTAATTGCAAAAGTTGAGGATTTTTTTTTTCTGTTTTTACTGTGTCTTGTTTGTTTACTTTCTTAATGTAACAGAGGCTTCAGGAAATTAATATTAATTAGTTGAATTGGAAGGTGAATTCTTGTTTTATTTTTTATTTTGCATAAGCATTTGATGCTGAAAATTCATGTCCTCTCTGCCTCCGGAGATTTCAGAGAAAGAAAACTAAAAATTATCATCTTGATGTGATTCTTTTGTGAGTAGTGGTGTTAAAGAGGAATAAAGTGGATGATGATGAGAGAGTAATTAATCTGTAATTATTTCAATACACACTCATGAATTTCCATGATGAATAAAATTGAAGCCTCCTTGAGTCTGTGAAGATCTTTTACTCTCCTTTTCCACAAACCTCATTTCTTATTTCCCATGAACTTGGAAATTGAAAACAATCATTGTCTGGTGACTCCCAAATTATAATTTCCCTGGAATGTCTTCTAGTGAATACTAATTTTCCAGGTGCCTTCCTATCCTAAAATTTCCTGTCAAACTGGATTGTTAGGAACAGAGCTTCTTCTATGACTTCTGACATGCTGGAAAGAAAACATCATGCTAACTATTACAGATAAAGCTTCAGCAGATTAAGAGATAATGCTTTGAAGAGAGGCCCATTTTCTGCCTTCTCACACATAAGTTCTGGTGGTTAAGTTCTCTGTAAGTCATCAAATTTAAAAAATTATTTTGGTGTATATCACAGGTTTCTGTTTCATATTGCTATTTGAGCAGTTTGTTTTGTGACTTGGCCTTTAAAAATTTTTTTTAATCTCAGTAGTTGGCCAGTATGGGTGGGAAGGAATGCCATGATTCCTGTCACAGATGAGCCACTTGTGTGGGCATCTGTCAATTATCCCTGCTCTGGTGTTGCTCAAGTTTATTTGTGTCATGGAAACCCTAGAGCCAAGTACTAGGGGAGTCCTACCAAGCAGATTTGGCAAGCATAGAATTGATGGCAGCTTCGTTATAATTATACTTCTTTGCATGGGTGACCAGCTGTATCATCGTAATAGCTTTCCATACTAGAGGCCAAAAAGACAGAGAGATATACAAGCTGCTCAATATATTTCAACAAATTACATTACAATTTATGCCTTTTCCAAATGTTTTATGCCTTGTAATCATTCCCTACTCCCACCCAGCCCATCAGTTCTTTCACGAATAGGCAAAATACGGCTCTAGATATCCTTTTTAAGTATAGTGCATTAAGAAGTGATTTTTTTCCTGTTCCTTAGAATAATCATATGTTTATCTTTTCTTGTTTTCAAACAAGAAGTTGTTTGCTTTAATAGATCGTGTGACTGTGTGATACATATATGATAATGATGATAATAATAACAATTGCAGGCCAGGTGCGGTGGTTCATGTCTATAATCCCAGCACTTTGGGAGGCTGAAGCTGACAGATCACCTAAGATCAGGAGTTCAAGACCAGCCTGGCCAACATGGTGAAACCCCGTCTCTACAAAAAACATTAAAAAATTAGCTGGGTGTGGTGGCACATGCCTGTAATACCAGCTACTCGGGAGGCTGAGGCAGGAGAATCACTTGAACCTGGGAGGTGGAGGTTGCAGTGAGCCAAGATTGTGCCATTGCAGTGAGCTGAGATTGTGCCTCTGCACTTCAGCCTGGGCAACAGAGCTAGACTCTGTCTCAAAAAAAATTATATATATATATATATATATATATGCGTGTGTATGTGTGTGTATACATATATATATGTATAATAAAAATAATAATTGAAAACATTTAGTGAGCATTTACTTTACGCCAGGGAGTGTACTAAACAACATTTTATTTAAAACTTGCAAACTCTATGAGACAGGTGCTTCGCATGAGGAAAGGGAAGCTTTGACAAGTGGAGTTACCTCACGCAATGTCACTCAGGTTGTACGTGGTAGAGCGGGGAGTTGAGTCCAGGCAGTCTGACTGTTAACGATTTAAAACTCATTCATTGATTTTGACTTAAATATGTTCTAGAAGTCCTTTCTGAGTTTCTTATCAGATAATAAAAGTAAAATTCCATTACCTGATATTAAATGAATTCAGTTTAAAAGATTTTGCTTCATTAAATGGCCAACTATTACATGAAATGATATTCAACACCATTAGTCATCAGTGAGATACAAATTAAAACCACAACAAGAAACCATTATACACCCATTCAAACAGCTAACATTAAAAATGAACAATTCCTATGTTTCAAGGATGTAGACCATATGGAACTCTTATACAATATGATGCAAGCATTTTAGAAATCTGTTTTGGCAGTTTCTTAAAAAAAGCTATACATACACTTACCATATAACGCAGCTATTCCACTAAGTATTTACACAAGAGAAATGAAGACATGTTCTCACAAAGATTTATACACAAATGTTCATAGCATCTTGATTCACTGTAGCCTAAAAACCAACTCAATGTCCATCAACAGCTGAATGTGTATAAACAAATGTGGTATATTCATATAGTAGCATATACTCATAAAAATGCAACAACATGGATGAATCTCAGAACCATTATGCTTAAGGAGAGAAGCCAGACACAAAAGTACATACTGTTTTTCATTTATATAAAACTCTAGTAATGAAAATTAAATTATAGTGACAGAAAGGAGAGCAGTGGATATCTGAAGCTGAAAATTGAGGGAGAGGTAGTTTGCAAAGGGCAGGGGAAAGTTTTAGGTGATGGAAAGTTCTCTTTCTTCATTGTGAAGGTGATTTCACAGGTGTATACATCTGGCAAAATTTACTTAATTGTATAATTCATTGTATTTATAGAAATAATATAGAGTCTATCATATAAATTATACATAATGTATTATATATATTGTTATTTATATAACATAATTTATATAATGTATATACTCTGTGCATGTGTGTGTGTGTATTTTTCTTAGAAACAGGATATTGCTCTGTCACTCAGGCTGGAATGCAGTGATGTGATCATGGCTTACTGTAACCTTGAACTCCTGGGCTCAAGTGATTCTCCCATTTCAGCTTCTCAAGTAGGTAGGGCAACAGGCATGCCACCATGCCTGGATAAGAATATTATAATTTATTATGTATTATTATTATTATATGTAAGTCATTCTTCAATAAAGTTAATTAGGTGCTGGACTCAGTGGCTCATGCATGTAGCCTCAGCTACTCAGGAGGCTCGGGTGAGAGGATTGCTTGATCCCAGAAGGTCAAGGTTACAGTGAACTAACTATGTTCCTGCCACTGCACTCCAGCCTGGGCAACAAAGCCCAGACCTTTTCTCCAAATAAATAAATAAATAAATGAAGCTGATTATAAGACATCTAAAGCACAGCAGAAAATCAAAACAAAATTTCTGCCATGAACACTTTTATACCTGTGTCTTAGCATACTTGTAGAATGTTTCTGTGAATTAAATTCTGCCAACAGGAAAACTTAATTAAAGGCCATTTTCCTGGCAAATAAATTCCCATTTCTATCCAAAAGGCCAATAAAAAGTTTTCAGTGAAATGTAAAAAAAAAAAAAAATTTAAAAATATTATGGAAAGTATCAATTGCTCTCCTAAAAGACTGTTATTGATTGACATTCCACAATATATGAAAGTGCCCATTTCAACCCACTTTTGCCAGTATTGAATAGTCAGTTATCTTTTAAATGTTTGCTAGTCTGGTGAGAATTTTTTTTTTTTTTTTTTGAGACAGAGGCTTGCTCTGTCGCCCAGGCTGGAGTGCAGTGGCTTGGTCTTGGCTCACTGCAACCTCTGCCTCCCGGGTTCACATGATTCTCCTGCCTCAGCCTCCCGAGTAGCTGGGACTACAGTCACATGCTAGCGCATCTAGCTAATTTTTTGTATTTTTAGTAGAGCACTTCGGCCTGGGCGACAGAGCTGCCATTAGTGAGTAGTCAAATTCCTACATACAGAATCTGAGGATCAACTGTAATTCCTCTGTAATGCTGCTGCCATGTGTACAATAAGTCAGTAAAAGCTTCAGAGTGGAAATATTTATCAAAGCATTGCAGGGGGCTATATAGCAGGAGAGACACAGAATGATACTTCACCCTGTTCATGAATGTAATATAATTTATTAATTTCTTAATTTTTAAAATCAAAGTTTTAGGTACACTTAGTTTTAAAATTTCAGAAGTTCTACAATGTTAATTATAAAAAAGAATAACCCCTTGAGCCTTTCTGCCCCTTCCCTTTGCCCAGAAACAACAAATTTCAATTCTTTTGTTGTTTCTTTTGTTTTTTACTGCCAAATTGCTAAATAACCTGATTATAATGTTATCGATTCTTTTGTTTTGTTTTTAGGCACTATAAAGACTAGCTTTCAGTGACTCATGCCTGTAATGCCAGCATTTTGGGAGGCCTAGTCTGGTGGATTACCTGAGGTCAGGAGTTCAAGACCAGCCTGGCCAACATGGTGAAACCCTGTCTCTACTAAAAATACAAAAATTAGCAGGGCATCATGTTGGGCACCTGTAATCTCAGCTACTTGGGAGGCTGAGGCAGGAGAATCCCTTGAACTGGGAGGTGAAGGTTGCAGTGAGCAGAGATCGTACCACTATACTCCAGCCTGGGCTACAGAGTGAGGCTCTGTCTTCATAACAAACAAAAAACTAGCTCTCTTTTGCTACCATTTGAACAAATATTCATGTACTTTACATCCTTCCAAATCTTAATTTTTAAAAAATTTTCCACCCAACTCATGCAGACAAATAATAAATTTTGTTACATCACTAATCAGTATTTATATTATTATACTGTTTCATCAAACTAAAATCTGGACTAAGAAAGCCTCCATACTCACATACTTGAGTTTTTACCTAAAACCCACAACGAAATTTAGCAAGTAAGCAAGCTGAAAATCTAACTTAGGAATATACTTCAATAATAAAGTTGTTGACTCTCAGGCGGGTGTGCTGCCTGTAGTCCCAGCACTTTGGGAGGCCGAGGCAGGCAGATTACCTGAGGTCAGAAGTTCAAGACCAGCCTGGCCAACATGGTGAAACCCTCTCCACAAAAATACAAAGTCAGGCATGATGGCGGGTGCCTGTAATCCCGGCTACTCGGGAGGCTGAGGTAGGAGAATTGTTTGAACCCGGGAGGTGGAGGTTGTAGTGAGCTGAGATCGTGCCACTGCACTCCGGCCTGGCCAACAGAGCAAGACCGCATCTCAAAAATAGTAATAAACAATTGCTGACTCTCAGCCAGTCCTAGCAGCTGGACCTCAAAGGCTTATAGGCCACCAGCTGTTCAGACCTTGTTCTGATAAGGCAAACGTTAAGCTGTAACTCACTCAACTGGCTGTCTTTGTACCTTGCTTCTGCTCCCTGAACATCACTTTCCTTTTTTTTTTTCAGATGGAGTCTTGCTTTGTCACCCAGGCTGGAGTGCAGTGGTGTGATCT